TATAAACCTATTGAAAGTATTACTTTTTTTCCAATTTCAAACAACTATGTTGACTATGTTGTGTAGTGTCCGAGTTAACAAAGTCAGACTTTATTCCTCACACTTATGTTTTTTTTTTCATTAAACACAAAACTTGGCTATAAGAAGACTATTTAAGATTCCATGGTATAGTAGAACAACAGACATATACAGAGATCTAAGGATCGACCTCAAGTTCTCCTCAGGATCAACGTTCCGTCATCAATGAAAACATAAATAAACGATATGAGTTCCTGCATAGTTAAAGCCAAGTGTGGGGTAGGCTAACTAACCCAAGAAACCACAACAACAACAACAAATGCAAATGTCTGCAATTTCATAAAAAAAAGAATTTTAATTCAAATTTAGTTTGACTTAAAAAGTTAGCTAAGCAATCTTATTTTTTATTTTTAAACAAAAAATAATAAAAAAAATTCTTGAACGTTTCAAGCCGCTTTCCATTCGTGGCCTACGAAAGAAGTTGCATAAAATAGCGAACTGAACACACCCAAAGGATGCATTTGCAAAAATTGAAATTAATAAGCGAAAATAGTCCAATTCCAATTGGCAATATCCGTCGCAATATGCGCTTTGACCAGCATTAACCTAAGCATAAGTGAGCATGCATAACTAGCAAAGCAAAGCAAAGCAATGGCAAATACGAAGGCAAAAGAAAGGCGTAAATACAGTAGGAAACGTAACACACACACGCGCATACACACACATAGAAGCGCGTATTTTAACTAGCAGGCAAATATTCGCCGTATGTGCTGCTATCGCATGGCAAATAAAGCAGCTTACAAGATTAGGAAGAACAAATTTGCGCGTTTGCGATGTGCGTATACATGAACTAAACTGCTTGCTTATGTATGTATGTATGAATGTATGTATGTGTGCATATTTTATAGGAACTTTAAGCATATTTATTTGATCATTATTGTCGCGAACATGTTTTTTTTTTGCTTTCGCTGTTTGTGAAGCAATGACCACATGCAGGCAGCAATTCTATACGCTTGTATGCAAGTGTGTGTGTGTGTGTGTGTGATGGTACAATTGTTTTTCGTCTGTTCGTTTGTTCGTTTGATATTTGAGTGTCTGTTCATTTGCTAGTGTCTATCTCTTTGTTTGTATGCTTCGGTATATCTCAGTGATTTATTAAGGCAACGATGTTATGTTTGTACTGTAGCGTGTTAAACATGTGTGTGTGAATTGATAATAGTATGGTCCATTACTACTTTTAGTATTGGCAATGGTGTTTTTTTTATCTTCATATTTTATTGGTCTCTTGAGTAAAACATTTTTTTATTTGTGTAATAATTTTTCGAATGTTCATTTTTTGTTCGTTTGTTTTTTTTTCTCTTTGTATTTTGATTTTATTGCTTTTTCGATTCTCGATTTTGTCTGTTTTTGCAACATTATACGAGTAGTTCTAAATTTCAATGTGTGTGTGTGTGTGTGTGAGCAGAGGCAGCACATATTAATGCGGTTTTATTCTGTGGCTTCCGTTCGTTATTTGTTTCATAAATAATTCATTAATATAGGAATTCAAATGTATTCACATAACTAAGTATATTTCTTTACGAAATACTTATATATAAAAATTTATATGTTTTTGTATTAAATTCAATTGATTTATTTTTATTTCCATTCGTTGCATTTGATTTTTTTCGTTCCTTTTATTTTTCTTACCAAAGAATTTCTAAGCTTTATCTCTGTGGGTACGCAACCTTTCATTTATTTTCTTTATGTCTTGTATATCTGGCTTAGTTGCACATACACATACACGTACATACATACTGGCACATATGAGGGTGCCTGAAATTTCGTACACACATATTTGTTTATTGCAGAGATTATAATTTTAAATTATCGTCCTATTGTTCTCTGCAAGCGGGCTGCTTCGTCCTTTACTTTGTAATTTCTTTGGCTTTGTTGTAGTTTTTTCCGTGAAGGCATGAATTCAAAAGCTGATTTCTTTTTATATTTAAATATAACACACTCACTTCAAAGTTCTAATTCAAATACTTAAGGTAACTTTTATGAAAGAAATTTTAATATGTTTACGAATAAATTTCCCAAAATTAAGCATACAGAAGACCCGTATACTCCATGCCAGTTTAAAGGATCAACTCATTTTAAAGTTTATGTCTTATGTGTAATACGTATATGAAATATTTGAGAAGATATGCAAGTTATATAGCTTAAAACACTTATTGATTTATACACCTTTAATTTGAATTCGAAAATATTTTTTTACATAAATGGATACGGAATTTAAGGTGCTTTAAATTTATTACATTTAAAGCATTTGATACAAAAATATCATCTAAAAGTTTTTATCTGAATTTTTTTTCTTTGAACAGGAAGCTGTTATATAACCAAATAATTCAACCGCCACTTCTATATGGATCTGCAGTGTTTAGCAAAGCTTCAAATAATACTATTCACCAGCTAGAAATTGCACAAAACCAGGCTCTTCACCAGCTAGAAATTGCACAAAACCAGGCTCTGAGAAGACTTTGAGAAGAAGATACCATGGTACCAATCAAGATTGATCCGATCAAAAAATACATAAAACTATTTACGAAAACTGACATCCTTACCAACACCGCGTTATCAATTCACAGAATAGTTACAGGCTCTTCGGAGAGCAATGCAGATCTGAGGTCAATTACTGCTTAGTCTGATAAAGTGATAAACAATAATCTAGTCAAGGCGTGGGGAGCAGTTATGAAGAAACCTCGCAGTAAAAGTGCTCAAGTGCACTGACTCAACTAGCCTCAACATAATAATAAAAATATCATATAAAAGTTTTTATCTAAATTTTTTAAAATAAATAAATACATTTTTTTTTTGCTAGTTTTTTGTATTTTAATGCCGTATGCACTAGCAGACAATTTTGGGTAATAAATATTTTATTTAACATGCACCATTTTTCTGTAAAATGAACTACCTAGTAGTTTTTCAAACAAAAATATGGAAATTTATACCTCCAAACGGTTATAGAGACAAAAAACTCGCATATGATCAAAATAAGGAAAAATTTATTTCATCACAATAAGCTAAATATGTCATAATTGTATAAAATGACCTTACACATAATATAAAGTATTGTTTTTTTTAGTCACTTCTGTGCTTCATACTCATTTAGTCATAGTGTTTTATTGCGGCGTATGTGCCTAAATAAACATTAAATTACAGTGAAATAATAACCATAATGAAACATTTGTTAAGGCGTATGTGGCTAAATAAATACTAATTTACAATGAAATGATAACCATAAAGAATTAATATTTAAATATGTGCTTGAACTAATAGTATAATTATATAGTACATATAGTATAATATAATAATAATATAATAGTATAATATAATATATAATAGCATAAGTCAATTAAGTATGAGAACCGCATTGAACATCTTAAATATTCTAGACAATATAATAGGTACATGTTTTTACTTGCACACTCATCAACACAAGAAAGCATAGTGTGACCTTTCAAAATATCATATGTTATCTACTAGCTACTAATGAAATTCAAATACTATTTACGTGACATAAACAATAGGTTAATAGAACGATTGTATATCCATTTGTTACATAATCTGCAGCCAAGTCAATATGTTACTTTTGTGAACATAGGTAGGTTACTTTAGGTTTAGTAGGCAGTTGAGAAACAAAGCTCTCTCTCTCTCTCTCTCTCTCTCTACAAACAAAAATCATACTCTATAATTCTCTTACCGTGCGTGTAATGCTGTATAGTGCAGAAGCTTGGATTTTTACCAACAGTGATGAGAAGATGGTAGGAGCATTCAAAAGAAAAATTGTTTGAAAGATCTATACCTAGTTACTTACGCATTGGCAATTGGTAAGCAGTAAGATTGAACAATAAGAGCTGTACACACAAGTGTATCCACCAAGGCTTATTGACTCATACAAATATAGTTAAGTGGATAAAAATACAGTGCTTCAATAGTTTGGTTATGTCGTGCGTATGGCAGAACGTGGTCTAGCTAGAAAGGTGTTTTATTTCATAGTCGCTAGCGAAAACCACGGTAGAAGCCGTTCGGTGCAAAGACCACATAAGCAGTCTTCATTAATACATATCAAGAGTAGTTGTGATATTAGTATACACAGGCGTTGAGATTGAAACGGGAGGCTTTATAGCAGAGCCTTCAAGTTTAGCTAGCTCATCTGTTCGTTTATTTCCTGTTATATTATAATATTTGGGAACTTAACCTAATGTTATCCATGAAGTTTCAGTTAAGTACGTTAATACATCGTCTGAGTTCATGAACTATTTTAAATGAATTACAAACTGTTGAAAAAGCTTTACTAACTGCCTGACTATTAATGAGAGTAAAAGCTTCATTTTCATAAGGGTCCTTTTCCATTCATACATTGAAAGAGAACAGTTTTTTAGGTTAAGGACAATTATATTATGACAGATCTATCGGTTTTATAAGTTCATTTTAAATTTTACTACAATTTCCTGTCATATTATTATAATCATTATTATATGATTCCTGTTATGTTATATGTTATATACTATATTTCAACATTCAAACATATATAAACATACTATAAATATTTGCAAAAAAAGTTTTCAATTAACCGGTCTGGGTCATAAATTGACTTCATTAGAATAATTATGCTTCAACGTAGCTTATTGAGGGCCGATTTTCCTAATTTAAGTCTGAGTTCTAAATTAAGTCACATTTAACTGACTGAGTTGTTAATTAGCTGACTTATTTTATATTTAAATCAGTTTTGAGATTCAAGTTACAACTATGAAATCCCCAGACCATAAATAGCCTTATTCATAGCCCAATTTTCATACTGGAAGCAATCGATTATCTAATATAAGTTACGATTGTTAAATCGACAATTGGAATTATTATTATAAATTTTTTATGTTATTATTAATGATTTTTCTATATACTAAAAATATATAGAGTAATATATAGATAATGGAACTTACCTTGATAACTGAGAATGCTGATCATCAATGTAAAAATGGGTCCCAAGCTTATGAATGCTGTGCTTATGTTAAAATGAAAATATTTTTTAGGTTTCTTATTTTTGTACGCCTGTTGTTGTTTTAGCTGCTGCTGGCGCTGCTGCAGCTGCAGCTGCTGCTGCTGCTGTGCTTTGATATTCAACTCCATGTAATTGTTTTGTTGTTGTTTCTCAGTAAAGAAATAATTTACATATTGAAGTTTATTTTGCCACTCTTTGAATTGTTGTTCAGCTGGTTGTTTTTGTTTTTCATGCAAAAGTTCATGGCACTGTTGTTGTTCTTGTTGTTCCTGTTTCTGTTCCTGTTTCTGGTTCTGGTTCTGTTTCTGTTGCGTTTGTTTATGTTTTTGAAGTGTTTGCTTTAAAAGAATCTGTTTTCGCAGCTGATTGCAGTAAATCAACGTTTGCTGCTCTTGTATGTGTGCTTGTTGTTCTTGTTCCTTTATTAACACTGCTTCCAGTACTTTTAGTGCAGCTTCTGTGGCCTCTGCTGTTACGACAACAGCTTCTGTTGCTGTTGTTAGCTGCTGCTTACGCAATTGCAATTTTTCTGCTAATGATGGCATCCAGCAGTCAATTGTATTTACGTTTGTGGGTGCTAAAGTTATTCTTACTATGCTTTTTGTTGCTGCTGCTGTTGTTGTTATTGTTGTTTTAGCGTTTGTAGTTGTTACTGCGTTTGTTAATGATGTTTTGGTTTTAGTTTTTATATCTGTAGTACTTGACGTAGTTTCAGTTGCGCTAACTTGTAAAATTTTTTTATTATTTTTATTGGTTATGTTACCGTTATTTATGGTATGTAAGCTCTTTTTCTTTTTTAAAAATAAATTATATATTATTGTTATTATATTTAAGAATGTAACTGCATTTGAGATAAACTTTTCCTTCTTGGTATTAGTAGTGCAGCAGAGAAGGCAATTACTGCGGGTATTGTGGTTGAGTCTGTAGTCAATTATAATTTTATTATTGTTATTTTTGTAACCGCTTCGCTTCGTTCCTTTGCAAACGCCAGTACGAAATGTCGCCAATACTGCTGGAGGCAGCAGTAGCAACAGCGCTGCAATTACATTTACTGTCCTTGTTGTTGTTGCTTTTGTGTTAGCCTTGATTTTTTTATTTCGTTGCCTGTTTCTATGTCTGCTCTGCTTGGTTCTGCTTGTATGCGTGCTACAACGCTGCTGCAATGACCTACGTGTATAACCACATTTTGTTTTTGTTGCGATCGTTGGATATTTTTAACATTACTATTAAGTGATATAAGTTGGTTTTTTATTTAATTTATAATTAAATAAAAATTAAAAATTTTTTTACTTAATTATTTTTCTTTATAGCTATTTTCTTTTTTTAATTTTTTATTATTTATAAGTTTTTATTATTTTTTATTAATTATTTTATTTATATTTTCTGTTTTTTAAATTCTATTTTAAAAATAATAATTTATTATTAATATTAGTTTTATTTTTATTTCTTTTTTCTTACTTTATTTTATTTAAATATAAGTTAGTAGCAAAGTTTTTAGGAAAATAAGTTTCAAACGTTCTAGTTGTTGGTTTCAATTTTAATGCGTTTTTTTATTTAACTTTTTTACTGGTTGTTTTGTTTTTTGGGTTTGTTTTTTATTTGCTGTTTATTTAATTGTTGTATTTAACTTTCACGTTTCAGTTTTAATTGTGTTTGGGATTACGTTTGCGCCCGCGTGTCCGTTACATTTACTTAACTTGTCTCATTACCAACTTGGCATTTGTCTGTTTACTGCTCCCGTCCCGTTCCAAACTACACTGTATTATCGTTCCAAACTTTACATGTGTGCAGGCATTTCACTGCTAACATGTAAACGTAAGCTGTCCTTTATTTCTCGCTGACTCGCTTAAGTTCTGTTTACTTCAAAGTTTATCTGACAGTTACGTACGTTTCTCTGACAATTTTTATTTAACCTGCCTTCCACGTCTCTCAAGCGAATAAAACTGTTAAGCTGCAAGGAAGCAAAATAAATAACCATTATAATATGAAGTTAAATTAAAAACTTATATAAATTATTTACAATAAACATTTTTATAATTAATTCGTATATGTATGTGTAAACAATATTGTATTTAAATACATAGTGCGTATAAGGATATTTAAAATTAATCTATAACATTTGAGGAAGCACACAAATTTTCCAAGTTGACATTATTATTTTATTTAAATTTTAAAAATTTCTCATTAGAATATGTGATGACTTTTTTTAATAAATCCCTCCCATTATCTAGTTCTAACAATTTCTTCAACATGTCTAGATCCATTCCTAGAAGAAATTCTCGATCTAAATTGCATATAAAATTTTTTTTCCAATATCTTCAATACATATTCCAAAAGTTGTTATGGTATAACAGCCAAGCAAAAGCCTTATTGTTTAAAATTAATATTTTTCCTTCTCTTAGCATTTTCTTTCTCTATTTATTCGAACATCAGTAATTTCTCTTACATTAGGTATAAAATTTTCGTTATACATTAACTTAAATTTTATATCCAGACTTCCAGTCGCTAATTGAACTCAACAAACTAGAGTTGTAATACTTGAGCTCCATCAATATCAAGAGCCTATCAAGAGCGTAACCATTTCTAAGGTTACGAACTCGTGACTACAGTATTATTCCCTGCTTATATACAAAAATTAATATCTTAAGCAAATATAACGAATTCACGCATCCATTTCCTGAGTCTGTCAACATCATCACAGGTATCCCATCCCCTCGCATGGATCAACCACTGCTACTGTCAACAGTTTCAAGCACCATCGTTGATACCAGATGAATAAACCCAATCCGACAGTACACAACTTCATGTCAAATTCCAAAAATGTTGATCTTTATAACATGGTAAATATTCACGTTAGCGATATAAAGAAGAAAACTGGAAGGCGTTCCAACGCCATTATTGTTTTCTCAATGCGAAGGTCAGAAAGACGTATTACACTGAAACAATTCCGCAATTCCAGTGTTCTTAATTGTAAGACTGAGACGCAACCACATGAGAACAATCTTAAATAAGGATATTGATTCAATTGAAGTGCAATATAGGTTTTACATGAAGGTGTTGACAAAACAAAAATACTAGTCATGTTTACAGAACATTTTCAGGGTAATTATATTGTGAAATAAAATCCTCTGATTATAATTGTAATTGTTTATAAATAAACTCGGTAATCCATTACATGTAATTGTAATAAAGAGGTTTTTGAACAGAAGTGAAACAATAATATAAATAATTCTTATATTTAATTATTCGTAAATAATTATTTTTGAGACTGCAAGTACCAGGAATCGAACTCGGGTCCTGCCAATTACAATGTAATTGTAATTTAAAATTAAGATAAAGAAAATGTATTGTATTTAAATGGCCAGCAATCAGGATTACAGTTTATTTTCAAATGTAATTGAAGTTAGGAGTAGCAGAACTTTTGAGTAATTATTCATATCTTCGGCTTTTAGTTTTCTTTAAAATAGTGAGTTTTCTCTTTCGCAGTACTTTATTGCTTTGATTATTTTACATTACAATTAAAATGTAATCGAGTAACTTAATAACATATAATATTGATTCCAAAAGAAGTCAAATTTTTATTTATACATTATAATTACCTGGAATAATTATAATAATTGTTATTTTTCAAAAGAAATTAAATTTATAATAATATATTACAATTACCTGGAATTAGTATAACACATAATTCCATTTAAAAGTAATTAAATTTTTAGTAATATATTACAATTACCTGGAATTAGTATAAAACATAATTCCTTTCAAAGGAATCAAATCTTTAATTACACATTTCAATTACATAGCAATAGTCTTAATATGGTAGTTTAATTACAAAAGTAAACAGTTCTGTACAGCACACGTTATGTTAGACAGGGTTCGAAACGAATAACATACTTAGAAAAAGAAGAGAAGTAGTTAGCCATACTACTTATACTTGATTAGTAGTAGCAGTAGTTAGCAGTAGTAGTTTACGTTTAACAAATTGTTGTTATGAAATTTTATATATGTGACTTAAGCAGTTTTAGAGTAGTAATGACTTCCGGTAATGACTTTAATATCTACGACAGCTCTATTTAAGTATGAGGTCAGTTTGTCACGAAGCTGTCTACGAAACAAAAATGTTTGTCCTGGTAGCTAACTTTCGAAGTGGATAAGGTACTCAGACAAAGAAAAAGTGTAACTATTTATATAAGGTACTAAGAGGAAGAATGGGGGGTAGTAATTCATACCATATTTACTCATAATAGTCCATAATAATTGTTGTGAAATTTATGTACTCGTGTCACATCCACAATCTCATTTAATAAACTTGTGGAGTTGCTGAGAGTCACAATGATAATAGTTATAAGTGAAATATTAATAAAAATATTAATAAAAGTGAAAGCTAAGTTGAAGAAATTTTAATATTTTTCTCTAAACGTTGTCAATCTTTATTGCATGTCTTCAGTAGTGAGGAGCAAATTGCAAACTGCAGATGTCAGTCATTGTCATTGTCAGTCATGTGTATTTTAAGCTTCAGGACTTTCTTATTATTTCTTTTACTTAACCAAGCTTATTTCGCACTTGATGTGAAAATCTATTCGTTCATATTGGCTTTTGTTGAAAACTCATAAAAGTGCATGAACTCTTGACTGACAATAGCACTACTTAAGAATAAATACGACAGATAGACGTATATGGTATGAGCACCAACAGATAGATACATGTACCTAGTTAAATGGACGTATTAAGAACCTGACAAAATTATAAACAGACAAACATATTTGTGCAGATGAAGTGAGGTGGAATGATATGAAGGTATATGTACATAACTGGGGAAACCATTTCAGATTGACAAGTAGATAATATGCAGGGTAAAGTTTTTACTTAAGCAACAGAGATGCCATCCGAAGGATACGCTTAGTTTTCGATATTGTAAGTTTTCAACACGAAAAGTTACTAATTTAAAGGAAACAACCAGAAGTTTGCAAATTGAAAACATCATGAATACTTAGGCATGCGAGCTTGAGTCGAAGTTACTGCCGCAGAATGCGACAACTAATGTGCATGCAATAGTGCAATTGTTGTGCGGTATTAACTGCAGTCTTCAGTGGAGCAACCGGAAAACAGCAACAAAAATGATTTACAATTAAAATTTTAATTTGAAACTTCTACTTTTGACATGCAGTAGCAATCTAAGGGTTCATCCAACTGCACCTCAACAAAATCGGATGCAGTTAAATGCACTCACATCAGTAACGTTGAATTAAAATAATTGCTATTACTTACGAGTAGTCTTGTGGCGGAAATGAAAATACAAATCGAAAACCAGCACTTTCATGGCTGCTAGAGAGAGTTTTTGTTCACAATTAAAAGTTAATTTTTTAAAGTTGTTACTTGCAGAATTAGTTCTGTGTTTAACTTTTACTTTTAATGAGAACTCAAAGGAATTACACAAGAGTTTGAAGTTAATGTCTTCTTGTTTTGTAGTTGTATAGTTGTATTGTTGTATTGTTGTACTGTTGTACCGTGGTATCGTCATGCAAGTTAAGTTACAATGCGGTAGGTCTCCTGAGACCGCACTGCAACTGCATTTAGCAATTCAATATAATATATATGTGTGAAATGCATTTGTTATGTCGCATGCATCTTATTTCCGACATTCCTCTTGAGTTGTGGCTAAAATGTTGGTGATTCTGATAGTCTATTGTTGACATTACCGAATTGCTATTAGTGCTACAGAGAGCGCCACAGGAAGCAGGGCGTCGGCATGTTGACTGTCATTTCCATTTACATATGC